TATTTTGATCCCTGAAATATTGAATATATTTTTATATGGTCCTTCAAGCAGACAACGTCCAGATTGCTTGCGATTTTTTATCATAAACTTGTCACATTATACTTATGTATGGGCAAAAAAATAATTTGAATAACTCTTGACCAAATTTTGGTTAAATAGCTACCTAAATTATACAATTTTGATCATCAACTATCCCAATTTTAGTCAAAAGCTACTCATATTACATATTTTTTTTGTCAAGAGCTATCCAAATTTTGTTTAAGAGTTATCAATTTTTTTTTTGTCCATATTTAGGTATTACGTGACAAATTTATGATAAAAGATCGTTAACAATCTGGACATTGTCTGCTTAAAGGATCATATAGAAGCATATTCAATACTTCAGGGACTAAAATGATGCAATTGAAACATTAGGGACCAAAATGAAACAAATCGCATACTTTAGAGACCTCCATTGCAATTAGCCCTTTTCATATTACCTTTTTATTTTGTGGGTCCGTTGTATTTTAAAGTTCAAAATCAAACTTACCTTTTAAATACCGAATACAATGTATTATATAATGTTGGCGAACACTAATATTATATAATATTTTTTATATCCAATATAATACATCACTTGAGCAGAATTATTTAAATGCCCAATTGGGATAACACTTTTAGTTATATTTGAAATCATAAGAGGTACAGGTGTAATATTTAAAATTTGAAGAGATTTAGGTGTAATTTATCCATTTAATTTTAGTTGACTATTAGCTTCAAGTGCATATTAATATATGTTTATGATGGTGCTTGGAAATAACGGCCCAAGCCAACCAATGAGATGCTAGTGAGTTTTGTTAGTGTGATTGAGTGAGAGGTTAATCTATGAGAAAAGGAATGCAAAGAACGTGAGTGATTCGCCTTAGCCGAAGGACTAAGACTATGTTCACTGTAACAGAGTCTTCTGCTCCTTAAGGTTGTATATTGACTCCTGATTAATACAGTGAGATTATTCGTGCTAGGCCTTTACAAGGATTTGTGCTTTTGCTTGCTATGGCTCTCTGGCTAGGGAGTGCAGTGGGGAAGATAATCCATCCATCCTCTTGGTAGGATAACACTAATCTATTTATATGAGTCGTCCCTCCTAAGATTCCCGATAGTTCTTTTAACCTTTATACTGATTCTGTGGCATCTTCTGTCACTGTTCTACAACGGCCTTTGCTATTCGACGCTATTGTGCCCAAGCTCTCTGGACCATTACGCGCATCGCCATTCTTTGTGTCTGGGAGGGTGTAACTGTCATAGGCGTCAGAGATGATCCCCTTGTCTTTTAGACACATGGCATGACGGATGCTTCTAGGGCAAAGATTTGGCTTTTCTTTCCCAGGCTGTTCTTTTACTGGTATTTAACTAGACATGGGCTGGATCACTAATCCTTTGGTGCTTTTGCCTTTTGTCCTTTTCTGTTCTTCGATGTGGGCTAACTAAGGGATCATTCTTTGGGATTTTAAACAAGCAAGGATCTTTGGGGATTATTGGGCTCTAAGCCTATGGTGGCCCATGTCTAAAATTTCGTCCTTATCAGTTGCCCCTAGCCCCTGGTCACGACGATGACGTCATCTCTGACCTGGGGTTAGAATCGTCTTTTTCGAATTTGGCATTATCTCCCTGTGTGGCGGAAATGCCAAATTATCAGCTCTAATATAATTTGTGCTAATATTTGCTGCTTGTGATGCGATGATTTTACACACATGTCACCAGCAGGTGAGCCCAATGGTACGACTTCTTTCACTTGTCTGTCACAACTTAAATATTGTGTATAAAAGGGAAAATCTTTTTGTTTTTTCCCCTCTGGTGCTTTTTTGAAAACTCTTCCTTGTGTTTCCTTATCTCCTTTTGGCTTTTGAGGTGTCTTATTCCAGACTCTTAGGCAACTCACGATTTATGTGTTTTTGGTTCCCTTTTGCTTCCAGCGCCTTACTAGGTGCGTTTTTTTTTCCCTTATTCTTTTTGCTCAAATTGGATCCCTTCAACCCTCTTTGGTGGGGCTTCGGGTTCCGCTATCTGATTTGGAGATTCAGTTACTTCCGGAGTCATTCTGATGATTTTTCTTCTCTGTCGTACTTTGTAGATCGATCTATTTTGCTAAGAGTATCCTTCCTTAGGGGTTGGTGTTCGAGACCTTTATTCTTGACAGATTGCTCCTTACATTTGCCTTCTCTACACTTTGGTTCGCAACTCGAACCTTTGATGGGGAAGTTCGTCGTTTCCTCTTCTGGGTCAGATTTTAAGGAGCAGGTCAGTGAGGAGGTCGAATAAAGTACCTTGGCTTCCTTCAGCGACTGTTCTCCTGATGTTGGCGAGGTGGTTTCTAGGTCTGTCCCTGTGGTTTCCTCTTCAGCTCCTTCAGTAGAGGCTCAACCTCTTTCAGCTTGCCTCCTATCCCCTCTATCCATTCGAGGAAGAGGAAGCCCAAATCGATTCCGCCCTCTACTCTTAGAAGTAAAACCCGTGATGACCAGTCCGACTTATTTTGCTACATGGAGGCGACTCCCAACTATCTCAATGACGAGGATTTGGTTTTTCTTTCCCAGGCTGTTCTTTTACTGGTATTGAACTAGGCCTGGGGTGGACTGCTGATCCTCTAGTGCTTTGCCTTTTGTCCCTTTCTGCTCTTTGATGTGGGCTAACTGGTGGATCCTTTTTTGGGCTTTTAAACAAGCAAGGATCTTCTGGGCTTATTGGGCTCCAAGGCTATGGTAGTCCATGTCTAAAATTCTGTCTTTATCAATTTATATTTTTGAGGGTGTAAATTAAAATTCGAAAAATATTTTGAGGTATAATTTGTGCTTAACCCATTATAAAATAACTAGTTGTTGTTTGTGCCTGAAGGCACAGAATAATAAAAAAAATGATCAACAATAAATATATTTATATTAATATCCAAAATTAAATTATAAACATGGAGCAAAAAAAAAAATTTAAACATCGATTGTAGTGGGGGTGAACGGTGGTGATGGTGGTGGGAGATAGTGATGGTTGTGGTGCGTAACGACAACCGTGGTGATGTGACAGTTATGAGTGTCAACGGTGATGCGGGTGGCAAATTTTTAGTGACGATGGTGATAGTCACCGTCTTAGGTGACGGAGGTAATTGTTGTGAGCGACGGTGATGGTGGTTGGCAATGATGGTGATGGGGCAACGACGGTGGTTGGTTGTGATGGTGGGCAGTAACAAAAGTGGTGGTGGGCGACGAGAGGTGCTTCTGGACGACAGTGTAATGAGTTGTGGTAAATAATGGTGGTGGGGGTGAGTGACATTGGGTGGCGATAGTGGTGGGCAATGACGATTGGTAGTGGTAAGTTTGATGGGAGTGGGTGATAATGACTGATGGCTATGGTGAACAATGATGGGTGGTGGTAAGTTGTAATATTGAGCGGCAATGGGTGGTGGTGAGCAAAAATGATAGTGGTGAGTGTTGACGGCGAGTGATGGTGATAATGGTAATAAATATAAGAATTAGGTGAAAATTATGGTAGGTGGTTATAGTGGATGACAATAGTTGCAATCGGTGGTGGGGCAACGACGGCAACAAGGGCAACGATGAGGTTGGGGGTGGTGGTAGTGGGGGGTGGGATTGCGATAGTAGTGATACCGACAACGACAACGACAACGATGGTGATGGTGGTGGTGGTGGTAAGGTAGCAGCAAAGGTGGTGGGGTGGGGTGGCGGTAGTGGTGCTGGCAACAATAACGGTCAAAGTGATGGTTGTTGTGGCAGAGGTGGTGAGAGGGTGGCGATGACGATAACGGTAGTGGTAGTGGTGATGGTGATGGGGTGATGGAGGTGGTTGTGGTGAAGCAATTTCAAATACTATTTTTTTTATTAAATATTCATAAGTATTTATAAGTTTTATAAATAATTTTAAAGAATCACCTTAAACATACTCTTAAAGATTTATTTTACCTATTAAATTTGAGGGGTTAATATTAACCGTCAAATTAATTTTAGAATAAAATTTTTTAAAAAAATAATCGCTAAAAATAAAAATTATTTTATTTATCTTTTAAAATTTAAATTATATTCTAATTTATTATATTAATAAATAAAACTAATGAATCTCACTATTCATTATTTTGACATGACAAGAGATAATTACTTCATTCGTTCTTAAATATCTTAAATATCTGTCGTTTTACACAATTTATTTTATTTTATAATATCTGTCGTTTAATAAAACTAAAACATTATTAATATTTTTTCTTTCAAATTTACTCTTAACTTTTCAATACATTAAATTAGGTGCAAATTAAATGTCTTTCATATTCCCTTTTTTCTCTATACGTATTAAATAAAATATTTTACTCTTATATAATTATTTTTTATTCATATTAAAATTTTTTAATAATTTTTTTAATCTCCATACAAAAACCTTAAATAACATATAATTAAAAAGGAAAGAAGTATTATAATTCCTAAAATAGTGGAGCCAACTAAATCCACTGGATAACACACATCATCAATATCAACATCAATACTAAGAAATGTCAATGTTACTTCCGGTGAGAGACCGATACCAGCGTCGACTTTCACTAGCATCCAACGACCATAATTAACCAAACCCAAAAAACAGATGACTGTCCCAACAAATAACAACACAACTATATACCCAAAATCATAAAGAAATCAGACACAAAACAGAACCATAAATCAAATCTATAATTATTTTTATTGCTTGATTCCCGGGCATGGCGGGTGGACGGGTTGGAATCAATTTCTACAAACCAACTGTAATTTCAAAGATATATTGAAGAGAAAGGGTTGTACTGTCAACCAAAACATGACCCAATCCCTTATCTCATTTGGGTGTATCAAAATTCTAAAACTTATTTAGCATATACCCTAAAATTACCAAAAGAAACATTTCTTCTTTCTCATTCTTCTTCGTCAGCCATTTTCTCCTAAGATTTGCTTTCCTATCCTATACCACTTGCACCACCGGAGGTATGCCGGACAACCTTATTTCAACACCAGATGTGGCTGGACATTTTGCCTCCGGTGAGCCATCAGCACATTGCTCCGGTACTTCAAAGCAGAGTCTACATACCAACAGAACAAAATACCAACTCAAAACAGTCAGGTTTAGCGTAACATCTCAAAGTAGTGAAAAGGTAGGGGACCTTACCATAGCCAGGAGTGAAACTTCCAAGCTGTGGTTGAGTCTCCATGGGGTCTAAGTTCAAATTCAGGGCCTGGACCACTCTGTCTGGAAGCAAAACCGTGGAACACACTGCAACAGCGAACAAAATCATGTATAATCACATCAGAATACAGAACGATCAAGACCCAAAAGAATTTAAGCAGAATATACGATATAATCCAATCACCCACCATAAAACAAGGTTACAAAGGAAAAAAAAACAACCAAATACACAAAACCCTCGCTAATAGCTCTTGTTGTGACCTGGTTTTTTGCGAGTTTCGGAGGGGGTTCCGATTATTCGAGGCAAGAAAACACCAGTTCCAGCACATTCCCGTCTAGCCGCCGGATTCCCCAGAAAAATGGCCCTCATACCAGACCCAGGCTGTTGGGGTTGTTGCCGAGACAGTTGAGAAATAGGCCAACCAGAAAGTGACAAACCCACTGGCTTTCCACCATCATTTCTACCTCTATGCTCAACCATTTGCCGACTCTGTCGCTGTTGATACCTGGCCTGTTCCCAAACACCCTGCTGCATCGCCATTTTCTGCCGTTTCAACTGCTCAAGCTATCAGCAAGAGACATAATAAAATATATCCATGAGTATAGTCAGAAATAAGGGATAAAGTGTCTAAAAAATTACACAGGGATTTGAATAACACTATTACGGCTTACTTGGGTGGCTTGTAATTGTTGGTAAGAGAGGGACTGATTCGAATGAAACCCAAGATTTGGGCGATTTGGGTGACTTGTGTGAGGATTTTTCAACATGGGACTGGGCTTTCTTGGGGAACCAACAGTCCCATGTCCTGGTAATACCCATTTTGTTTTTCAGCCATTCTCATCCGAGCCACTTTCCTTGCAGCCGCATACAGTAGATCCCAAGCGGCCTCGTTCTGGCTCATAGGTGGAGGAGAAGAAACATTTGACGGACAATATGAACTTCCGTGCCACGAGTCCTTCTTGAAGCCACACCCACCAAGAACAGAACACAGCGTCGATTGAGGCGAGCCAGACGTAGCCAATGACTACACATGATAAAAACAAAAAAAAAAACCCAATTAGAGTTGGATAAAATAGAACCTAATCAACAAAATTAGATAAAATAGGCTGCAATAAGCTATACCTTCGATTTGTCATTGGCAAAAGCAGTGTCTGCTTTCCACAAATCGTCTTGAATGGTAGAACGAGCCAGTTTCTTAGTTAGACCAGTGAGGTACTCTTCTTCATCACTCTCAGTCTCGGTCGAACCCACGACGGACTCAACGGCTGAACACAGATCCGAGTTAGGACAAAACGACCCAAACCCAGTTGGGAAATCATAAGGAAAGTAGGCTCCTCCATCAATTTCTCTGCTTAACCACACGTCTCCTTCACTTTTCTTGGCGTTTATGTCGTCGTCAGTGAGGAACTGAGGAGGGAGCCAAAACTCTCCGTCATACAAATCTTCTGCCATTTCAAAACAGCTATAGGTATAACCAAAACTAGATAGATATGTAAGTGTATATATATAACTGATATAACCACACCACATAAGAGATTTCGAGGACCGTGGTGTGAGTCAATGCTTCTCAAAGGATTAATAATAGCCACCACTTCGGTTGTGATTGCTTGGTGTTCAGGGAGTCTGAGACCCTCAGCGCCCCCCTACTTCAAAAACAACTCAGGTATTATAAGTAGGGAGGAACCCCGGGTTAGGGATTTGGATAACGCACTATTAGGTGGGGTAACAGGCACGCGCGGTACCACCAATTCCAAAAAGCTATGGTCTGTTGGAGTAATTCCTGAATTTGAATCTATACAATTTTTTGGCATCAATTCATATTCTAATCTCATCTCGGCTTTTATGGTTTATCTTTCATTGAATGAACGAGAGAATTATCGAAAGTATACATAAATTGATAGAAATAATCATGACCGTTTGAACTAAGAAAAAAAACACGTATAACTTTTATTGGTTTTTTTTTTTTAATTTTGAGTGTCAATTATAACTTTAGGAGAGTTTTTACAAATTTTAATATGTCATTTATAACTTTTAAAGGTCAATTATAATATTTTGGAATAAGAGTGACACTGAACTCTGGCGGGATTGGGAGGGGTGCAGGTGGCAGGGCAGAGAAGAGTTTCAATTCATTTTCACCTTTATTTTCACAAGACTTTATATGAGTATCTATGTATATATTTATCGTCAAATATATATGATCCATTCTCAATCAAAACAGGATGAGTTTTGATGATTGCCCATATTTTTTGGTTCATGGTCATCCCTATTTTGGAGATCATTTATAATTTTAGAGGTATTTTTGGATCGATCATAAAATTATAAGAATTTATTCAAAATAATCTCAAAAATTATAAATAATTCACAAAACTTATAACTTGAAACATAAAAATTATAACATTGTCTAAAAAATTATAACTTTTTTCTATAAATAAATTCAAAAGTTTATACTCAATACACAATACTTATATGTGAACAAAAGTATGTAGCCTAATTCTTTTTTTTTTTTTTTGATATTTCAAAAAAGGGTGGGAGCAAAGAAGAACGCTCAGCGATCACTCCGATAGATCTTCATCAATGGGATTATAAGATCCTGTTCGCACTTGGAACACCTCTTAAAACATAACTTAATTAGGCTAACATAGCGGCCATCATTAAACTTCAACGAAGACTCCACAGTTCGAACTCACAACCCCAAGTTGAGAAGTAAGGCGACTATCTCGCTAAATCACCTTATTGGATGGTGTAACCTTATTTTTTGATGACGTGGCACTAGTACATATATAATCGGAGATTTCGACAGGCAGCTTTAACGGTGTATATGTGTTTGATCAAACTGCTCTTCCGTCTGTTTTAACGGCCTGTCGTTTTCTGGTGGCATCATCATTACGGGTCGTCGTTTTCTCAGTGCCGGCGTCAGACGGCGTGCCAGTTCTCGCGGATGCGAACTCAGTTCATTAATTCATTCAAATGAAATGCAAAAAGCAACAATATTTAATTATAATTATCACTACGACTGTCCAAATCGTTTAACTCAATAATTTGTTTTATAATTTAGTTAGTTTTTTTTGTCTAAAGATATAAAATAATAAAAAAAATGAACATTAATAAACATATTTGTATTCATATTTAAAATTAAATTACAAACATAAATGAGAGATAAAAAAATTTAAATGTCGATTGCAATAGAGATGAGCAGTGTTAGTGGTGGTGGACAGTAGTAGTGGAAGACGGTGATGATTATGGTGAGTGGTGACAATCGTGGTGGTGGTGATAGCTATAGGTGACAACGATGATAGTGGTGGTGGTGGGGTGAGTTTTGGATGATGATAGTAATAATGAACAATGATGATGTTAATTAATAGTGTTGGTTGTGGGACGATAATGGTGGTGGTGGGTGGTGACGATGGCGACAGTGGGGTATGATGGATGGCTACAGTGGTCTCCTATGATAGGTGGTGGTAATAGGTGTGGACGGGGGTGAGTGAAAGTGACTGGTGGCAATGATGGGCAATGACAGGGTGGTGGTGGTTTGTGGTTGTGGGTTATAGCAAGCAACAATAATAGTGGTTGGGTGCTGACGGTGGACGACGATGATAGTAGGATAATGGTGGTAATGGTTATAAAAATACATAAGAATAATACAATGATTGTGGTAATAATGAACGATGATAGTAGCAATCAATGGTAAGTGGTGATGGTTTTGTGGTGGGGCAGTGAGGATAGGGGGTGAGGGTGGGGTGCAAGTGGGGTAGTGGCGGTGGTGGAGGAGATGGTGGTGGTGAAAGGTGGCTGTGGTAGGGTGGCGATAATGGTGATAGCGACGACAATGGTGGTTGTGGTAGGGTGAGGGGTGGGGGTGCTGGTAGTGGTTTGGGGGGGGTAGTGGTGATGGTTGTGAAGCAGTGGGGTTAGTGGTGGAGCGATTCCAAATACTATTTTTTTTAAAGTATTTATGAAAAAAAATTTTTAAAAATTTTTTAAAAAGTCATCCAAACACACCCTTAGAACCTATTTTTTCTATTAAATTTGAATTTTAATATTAGCCGTCAAATTAACTTTAAAATAAAATTAAAAAAGATCTTAACTGCGAATAACAAAAATTATTTTATTTATCTTTTAAAATTTGAATTATGTTGTACTTTATTATATAGATATTTTAATTCTCGTAACTTTAATAATTTAAAATTAATAATTTATCACATTAACTCATTTAAAATATTATTTAATCATAATAATTAAATTTTCACCTTGTAAATATAATAAATAATTTTAATTTTAATTTTTTAACCATAATAACTTAACCCAAATATTCAAAAAACAAATCGTGTTTTATGTGCGGGGCACACTAATAAATGATAAGTATAGAACGTCTGCCAAGAATGAGTATATATCAGCATTACTGTATTATAATTTTTTTAATATCATGTTATAAAATAAAACATAATAAGATTTATCTTAAAAAACAATAAGTAAAATCTAAAAAATAAGTGCATATAAAAGTTATTAAGTGTCATCCAAAAGATGATATAATTACCAAATCAGTACTGTCCTCAAAATCCCAGTATTTGTATATCATTTGTATCGAGTTTTCAAGTGTCATTATTTTTGGTCGGGGATAATAATCGAATTGAATTTTGTGAGATAGAATCAAGCCGAGTCGGGCTTAAAAAATTATTAAAGTTCAACTTATTTAGAAAAAAAAATTTTGAGCTCAAAACAAGCAAAGTTCGAATAGTTCGATTATTTTATATATAAACAAATGAATTTTTTAGACTTGTTATACAAATTGAATCCGAACGGAGCCACCCTTGGCTT